TGGGATCAACTACGATTTTTGGTCCATCAAGATGAAGACCATATTCAAATCACATGATCTCTGGACTTTGGTGGACAAGGGTTATGAAACTGCAGAAACTGAAGATGATTCTAGCGATGAAGATCAACAGTCTGTGAGGAAGATAGCAATGAAAGTTAATGAAACCAGAGATGCAAAAGCTCTTGGTATCATTCAAGGGGCAGTGTCTGATGAGATCTTTCCTCGAATCTCAAACTTTGAAACCTCCAAGACTGCATGGGATGTTCTTCAACAAGAATTTCGTGGTGACAAAAAGGTTAGGTCTGTCAAACTACAATGTTTAAGAAGAGATTTTGAGTATACTAGGATGAATGATGGTGAAGCTCTATCTGTTTAATTTAACAAGATTGACTGATATTGTGAATCAAATGAAAACTCTTGGTGAAGAACTGACACAAATCAAAGATTAGTGCAAAAGATACTTATTAGCTTGCCTAAATCTTATGATTCCATCGCATCTATTATAGAAGAAACTAAAGACCTTGACTCCATTGAGGTTCAAGAAGTGATTGGTACATTGAAAGGCTATGAGCAGAGGTTAAATATGCATTCTGAAAACTTAGCTGAAAAGGCTTTTACTAGCCTAAGTGTGACTGAGAGAGATAGCAGTTACAGGGGTCAGGGGAGCAACTCAAATCAAAAGAAATTATGGAAAGGCAAAGGGAAGAAATGGGACAACAACCATACTTCACAATCAAAATCAGAATCTAGCAGTGAGTCTACCAAAACCAAGTGTAAAATCTGTGACAAATTACACTATGGTGTTTGCTGGTTCAAGGGAAAACCCAAAATGCACCAAGTGTGACAGATTTGGCCATCTAGCAAAAGATTGTAATCCAAGAAGGAACCAAGTTGTCAACTATGCACATAGAGCAGAAGAAGAGGAAGTAAATGTCTTTTATGCTTGTAGTGTTGCAAAAACTGAAAACAAGAGAGGAATCTGGTATATTGACAGTGGATGCAGTAATCACATGACTGCATATGAATCCTTGCTGATCAACATTGACAGAAGCTTCAATTGCAGAGTTAAAATGGGGAATGGACAACTAGTGGAAGCTACTGGAAAAGGAACTCTTGTTCTAGAGACAAAGGGTGGAAGAAGATTCATCAATGATGTAATACTTGTGCCAGGTCTTGATGAGAATCTCCTTAGTGTGGGACAGATGATTGCTCATGGTTACTTCTTACTTTTTGGAGACAATATGGTAGAGATCTTTGATAACAGAAGCCTCCAAAACTTGGTAACACAAGTTGGCATGACAGAAAACAAAAGCTTTCCACTTATGCTAGATTACAATGATTCAATTGCCCTAAAAGCAAGTGTTGCAGAAAACTCTTGGTTATGGCATAAGAGGTTCGGACATCTCAACTTTCACAGTTTAAAGAGATTGGAGAAACTACAAATGGTGACTGGTCTTCCTGAGTTACAAGAGACTAAAGAACCGTGTGAAGGTTGCATATTGGGGAAGCATCACAGGGACTCTTTTGAAACTGGAAGTGCATGGAGAGCAAGTCAACCTCTAGAACTCATACACACAGATGTGTGTGGTCCAATGAAGACACCTACACTCAGTGGGAACAGATATTTTCTGCTATTCATTGATGACTGCACCAGGATGGTTTGGGTATATCTTATGAGAAACAAGAGTGAAGTCTTTTCAATCTTCAAGAAATTCAAAATGATGGTTGAACTTCAGAGTGGTCTCAAGATCAAAAGACTAAGAAGCGACAGAGGTGGTGAATTCACTTCACTTGAGTTCCAAGAATTCTGTGAAGGAGCAGGATTGCAGAAGCAATTGACAGTGGCCTACACACCACAGCAGAATGGTGTGGCTGAGAGGAAGAACAGGACCGTGGTTGAAATGACCAAGTCAATGCTCCATGATAAGAAAATGCCACTTTCTTTTTGGGGTGAAGCTGTCAATACATCTGTGTATCTCCTAAACAGGTGTCCAACTAAAGCACTTGAGAAGAAAACACCGTTTGAGGCATTTAGTGGCAGAAAACCAAGTGTGAAGCACTTGAAGGTGTTCGGATCAATCTGCTATGCACAGATACCATCTCAACTACGACACAAGCTTGAGATCAATAGTGTCAAGTGTGTCCTTGTAGGTTATGGAAGCTGTGAAAAGGGCTATAGGCTCTACAATATTGAGTCACGCAAAGTGATTCTCTCAAGGGGATGTGGTGTTCAAGGAGAATGAAGCATGGAATTGGGAAACCAATAACATAGACACTATCTCATTTCCACTAGCAATGGAAGAAGCACAAGCTGAAGTGCAAAATGTGAATGAACCTGTTATACAAGATGAGAGTCAAACTGACTTTTCAACTCCAACACAAGGATCTCAGTCCTCTACTTCAAATGCAGAAGGACAAGAATTACAGGATTCCTCCCTGAAACAACTCCAGTGAGAATGAGGAGTTTAAATGAGATCTATGCAGTGTGTAACTATTGTGTTGTTGAACCAGAGAGTTTTGAAGAAGCTGAGAAGGATCAATCCTGGCAGAAAGCAATGAGTGAAGAAATTGCCATGATTGAGAAAAACTCTACTTGGAAATTGGTAAATAGACCGAGTGATAAACCTGTGATAGGTGTGAAACGGATTTACAAGATCAAACTGAATTTGGATGGATCAATACAAAAGAACAAAGCAAGATTAGTTGCCAAGGGCTACTCACAACAACCTGGGGTAGATTTCAATGAAACCTTTGCCCCAGTGGCAAGGTTAGACACCATTAGAACCTTGATTGCTCTTGCTGCCCAAAAGGGATGGAAACTTCACCAGTTAGATGTCAAATCAGCTTTTCTAAATGGCATTTTGGAGGAAGAAGTGTATGTGGATCAACCACAAGGATTTGAAGTGCCAAATAAAGAGGATAAGGTCTACAAGTTAAACAAAGCACTGTATGGACTCAAACAAGCCCCCAGGGCTTGGTACAGTGAGATAGACTCCTATTTCAGCAAAAGTGGATTTAACAAAAGTCCTAGTGAAGCTACATTATATACAAAAACTGGTGAGAACTCTGAGATGCTTATTGTGTCTATATATGTTGATGATGTGGTCTTTACTGGTAATTGTGAAGAAATGATTGAAGAATTTAGAAGGGAAATGATGAGACAATATGAGATGTCGGATCTTGGCTTGTTGCATCACTTCTTGGGAATTGGAGTAATACAAGAAGCTACTGGGATTTTCATACATCAGCAGAAGTATGCACAATCACTGCTTGAAAGATTCAATCTGAAAGGATGCAAATCTGTGGCAACCCATTGATCACATGAAAACTTTGTAGAAGTGGATGGTTCTGAATTGCTGAATGAATGCTTATTACCGAAGGATGGTTGGAAGTCTGCTTTATTTGACTGCTACAAGACCTGACATTATGTATGCAGCCAGTCTCTTATCAAGGTTTATGCATAATCCCACGAGAATTCACATGGGAACTGCTAAGAGAGTACTAAGGTATATCTCAGGGACCTTGGACTATGGAATCAAATATGAAAGGGAGAAAAAGCAATTCTGGTAGGCTTCTGTGACAGTGATTGGGGTGGCAGTGAAGATGACATGAGAAGTACCTCAGGATATGCATTTACATTCGGTTCAGGGATATTTTCTTGGGCTTCTGTCAAGCAACAAAGTGTTGCATTGTCTACGGCTGAAGCAGAGTATGTGAGTGCTGCAATGGCTACCTCCCAAGCATATATGGTTGAGGTTTGTGTTAAAGGATTTTGGTGAAATGCAAGTGATGCTTCACCACTTATGTGTGACAACCATCAACAGCAATAGCATATGACCAAGAATCCTATTTTCATCAGAAAACCAAGCATATCAAAAGGAAGTTTCACTTCATAAGGGAAGCCTTGCAGGAGAATACCATTGAACTGATCTACTGCAAATCACAGGATCAAATGGCCGACATCTTCACCAAAGCTCTACCGAGGGAAAGGTTTGTCTATCTCAGAGGAATGCTTGGGATCAAAACCAGAATTCATTTAAAGGGGAGTGTTGGAATTAAATAGAATTCAGTTTTGTTCAAGTGTTTAAGAAGAAAGAAATCAATAGAAAAGTGTATGTCTAGTCTCATAAGACAAGTGTATGCTTTAGATCTTTGTTTTGAATCAAGGGCTGAGATTGCTCTAGATTAGCTTGTAAGGAAATATCCTAAGTTGATATTTATTGAAATATCTGTGATTACTTCACAGATAAGAAACCTTTCACATTCCTCCCGATTTTCTGTGTTCTCTGCTTTCATTTTTTCTTGTCTGCCTCCAGGAACCAAAACTAACTCACCAGAATTTATCAATTAGGCGATGTAATCGTAAACTAACAACAAACAATAAGCCCTCTAACTAAAATATATTATTGGTAATCAATCTTATTTGTGTTTGGTCTGTGAAATGAAGCAACCTTGCAAGAAACAAAATTCAGATTAAAGTAAAATTAACGGTGAAATGAAATTTTCGTCTCTGTAAATGTACCGCAAACAAATCCATTTTCCTTGAAACGAAAAAATTAACTGAAACACTCCTTTCCCCGTTGCAGAAAGGTTGATCGCAATACAAAGATGCGCAGCTACAACTATATTAAGGGAGATCTCTTCACACCAAATCTCGTCTCTCTTGTGATTCTCCAAAATGATGGCTCGTCAAGATCGAAACCCTACCAGCTTGTTTACAAAAGTCTCGGATGTCCTGCTCTTTGTTGGTGGTTTTACCCTCGGGGTTGTACCTAGCAATCTCAAAGAATACTACCCATTGAATCCTCAGTTAGCCAGCCTACCCATCTCAGCTATCTCATCATCTCTTCCATCCAATATTCCTTCACAAATGCTAATGCCTGGTGTAACTTCGGCAGTACAAAATTCAACTCCGAAACTGGAAAATGTAACGGCAGCCCCCCACAGCATCCAATTCTAATACGAGCCAAACCTTTGCATCCCAAATACGATCTAACAATATGAGCAAAATATGTGCAACCCAACCTAACATAACAGGAGGATATTTAAAGAAATATCTGAGGCCGCCAAAGGTGTTTCATGACATGAACGTCTCGGAATTGCTATGGAGAGCTTCGATGAGCCCTCGGATTCTCGAGTATCCAATCCATCTTGTTCCCAAGGTTGCTTTCATGTTCTTGACAAAGGGACCTGTTCATTTGGCCCTGTTATGGGAAAATTTCTTCAAAGGGCATCAAGGCTTGTACTCAATTTATGTGCACTCAAGTCCATCCTACGAGGCAGCATCGCATCCTGAAAGTCCGGTGTTTCATGAGCGAAGAATTCCTAGTCAGGTGATAAGTTTTTTGCTTGACTTGATCTTGTTACAATGTTCAGTCCTACAACATGTTTTGCAGGAAGTGGAATGGGGGAAGGCGAGCTTGATTGAGGCTGCGCCGCCTATTGGCGAATGCTCTTCTCAACATCTCAAACCAACATTTTGTTCTCCTCTCAGAGACATGCATTCCCCTCTACAACTTTTCCACTGTCTACTCCTACCTCATCAACTCAACCCGAACTTTCGTAGAGGTCTTCGATGACCCAAGTTCGGTTGGACGTGGCCGGTACTATCTCAGCAACTACACGAGAATCACGGTAGATCAATGGAGAAAAGGGTGGGCGTGGTTTGCAATTGATAGAGAGGTTGCCATTGAATCCATCTCGGATCGAAAATACTTCCCGGAATTCCTCAAGTGCAAAGGCTATTGCTTTCCGGATGAACATTATTTGCCAACATTTGTGCACTTGAAATTTGCAGCAAGGAATGCAAATAGGACTTTGACCTGGGTTGACTGGAGCAAGGGCGGCCCACACCCGACGGAGTACAGGAGCCCAAACCTGACGGCGGCGCTTCTGAGTAGCCTGAGGAGTGGTTATGGTCGGAAATGTGAATACAATGGGAGGAGCACGGATGTTTGTTTCTTATTCGCCAGAAAGTTCATGCCTGATACTTTGGATAAACTGCTGAGACTTGCAACGCAGATCATGTATTTCAGCACATAGATTCAGATTGTTACATTTCCTTTTTGTTAAATCTAAATCCTAAATCAATTTAATTAAACGATTCCGATTTAAGCTCTATAAAATCGTTGCAATCGATGTAATTAAATTAGCATAAACGAAAATTTGAGATTAAATAAGAAGGCAAGGGAACTGAAGCCAACAAAACAAAACCCGTAGATTTACAACACAAGAACGTTAAAAATGGTTGCTGGTGCGATCACTGACTTGCTCCGCAAGTGTCCTCCGACAAGGCCGACGACTCGGACATGGATTCAAAGCCGGTCTCGTGACTCGGCGAACCAGACAGGCCCCGAATCTCGTCAATCATTTTCACCACCTGGCTCATCCTGGGACGTTGATCAGGCGAAGCGGCCGTACAAGCCATTGCAATCTGCAAAAGCCCCACCATCTCCTCCTCAATATCCTTGTACCTCATCAGCTCCAAGTCAAACACCTCCACCGTCCATTCTTCCCTGACCACAGACTGGACCCACCTGGGCAGGTCCACAAGCCCACCGAATCCTCCCCCGGACCCGCCATTATCCACCACAGAGGGACACTTCCCCGTGAGCAGCTCCAGCAGCAGAACACCAAAAGCGTACACGTCTGATTTCTGCGTCAATTTCCGACCGTCCAACGTCTCGGGAGCGCGGTAACCGCAAGATCGCGGAGCGGACGACGTGGAGGGCGGAGGAGGCACGAAAACGGAGAGTCCGAAGTCGGAGACTCTGGCGTTGCCAGTGTTGTCTAAGAGGATGTTGGTGGACTTGATGTTACCGTGGGTGAGCTTAAGCGGCCCGCATGAGTCGTGAATGCAGGCCAAGCCTCGAGCGGCTCCGGCTGCGATTTTCAGCCTCGTTGTCCAGTCCAGCGGAGTCCGACCGGGTCCACGGTTTCCTGTTGAAGTTAGCCCTCGTTAGTTCACGATAATTACAACTAAGGACAATTACGTAAAAGCGTGGAGTGCAGCGGAGTTAGGCGCTTTTTGGTCATATTCAGAGCAGGAAAGAAGGAAAAGAAGGGAGCAAAAAACAAAGACAAAAGTAAAAGGAAGATAAAGACGGAACTGGAGTTGACAGGACCGACAGTAAAACCCTAAATATATAATTACAAAAAAGACCCTAAATTTGACCCCGTTTGACCTAAACGTACAGAAAACAAGGCACCAAATTGAAACCCAGAATTAAACTAATATTTGAAAAAGAAAAAATTTCTTGGCTACCAAACAGAAATTAAGCAGGAAAACTGAAATAAAATTACCGTGGAGAACCCAGAACAGGCTGCCATTGGGCATGTAATCGTATACCAACAATTTCTCCTCCCTGGCGAAGTAATAAGCCCTCAAGCTCACAATGTTGGGATGGCTGAGCCGCCCCAGCACCGCCATGTGCTGCTCGAACTGAGTCTTCCCGCCAATCTGAGCATCCTTGAGCCTCTTTAACCGCCACCACGTTGCCATCGTCGAGAACCGCCTTGTACGCGCCGTCCCGAACCCGCCTTTCCCCAGCATCTCCGCCGAGGCCCTGAGGCAAGTCCTCGAGCTCGAAACGCTTTTACTGCTTCGAAGAACACCATCCGACCCCGCTCGAACACTGGTTGGGCGGCGGAGTAGGGGCTCGACGAGTACACGATCTTCTCAGTTTCTAGAAGCTTCGAGCCCCCCTTGCCCTGCCGCATTTTGGCGCTGAAATTCCGCCAGAAGTAGCAGTACAGTAGCAGCGAAACCAGCACGAGAACCAAAGCGTCGCCAACTATAATGGCGATTAGAGCCTCCGGACTCATTTTCGCGCTACCACTTCGGTGAGGATTTCCCGATTTGTTCAGCGCTGAGTTCCCGGGTAACGAACTCGGCGACGACGCTACGACGGTTGGGTTAGCAGCAGGCATTACAGGAGACGCAATGGCTCCGTCAGATCCAGGCCGGGTCGGGTCGTTTGGTGTACCCTTGCAGCTCTGCATCGGAGACCCGCATAGACCCGGGTTTTGAGCGAAAGCAGTTATAGGGAAAGTCGAAAAGGACTTGGGTATTTCGCCGGTCAAACGGTTCGCAGACACATTGAGGTCCTGCAGATTCGGCAGGGTCAGACCCGAAATCGAACCGGAGAAACGGTTCGCCTCGAGCCGGAGAGTGAGAAGATGATTCAAATGGTTGACCGTTGCGGGAATCTTGCCGGATAGGTTGTTGTAGGACAGATCGAGGCGGTAGAGGCGGAAGAGAGAGGACACGGAGGCTGGAAAGTCGCCGGAGAGTTCGTTGTAGGAGAGGAATAAGAGTTTGAGGGCGGTGAAGTTGGAGAGGTCCGGAATGGGGCCGGATAGGCGGTTACGCTTGAGGCTCAGAACTCGGAGCTGAGTTAGCGCGGTGAGTGGCTGGAACGAGCCGCGGAGGTCGAGGTTCTCGAGAACAAGTCGGGAGACTCGGTTGTTGGTGCAGGAGACGCCGGTCCAGGTGCACGGGTCAACGGAGGTGGAGTTCCACGTGGTGAGCTTGTTGGATGCGTCCGACGTTGCTTTGAATGATAGGAGAGGTTTGGTATCTGGATTCGAAGAGACGTGGAGAGCAGCGAAGAAGAAGCTCGTGAGGAGAAGAGTGGCCACGGCGGCCGTGGCTGCCATGGTCTCTCTGCAAGTGAGAGCAGAGAGAGTGAGTGAGGGAGACGATTGAAATCTCTTGGGTATAACTTATAAGTTTAATGAGGGTTGGTGGACCGTTGGTGTAATTATTGGGAAGTAGAGGAGCTTCAATGTAATTTACCGTAAAATGACATGGATGCCCATGACCTTTCACTGCCGGGGGCCAGCGTGACAGTGTAACGTATAAAGCCGTGTAACGCGAGGACTTTATGTCGTTTCATATCATCTGATGGATTTCATACTCGGGGAATAGAGGGAGTGTGATGGGGGTCCATGGAATGGTATTTGTGTGCTGCCGTACATTAGCATTTCCTGATGGAGGAGGCTCGGACACGTGGGGACGTGGGTAGATTTATTCGGGCCCGCTCCGAGATCATACCAGAGGAGTGATTCTTGGCTTGTAAATCAAACGATCTTCCGTGCTCGCTCGTTCAAGTTTTAGGGTTTCACATGTTCCATTAAATGAGTCGTCGACTCAAATATGTTATTTATTTATAATTTACGATTCTTGTGGATTGACCATAACAGCCACGCTTGATTAATACGAGCACAGTTATGTATAGTCATGACAATAATTTGTTTAACAAAGATGATGTCTACAAGTTATAAGATACACGGATGAGTTAAACTCGAAAATGGTTATTCATTTTTGAACCGTTTCCGGCTAAACCATGGTGATTTAGTCATCGAGAAAGGTATTATTCTCTTCGTCTCGTCAAGAAGTATGATTTTCGTTTTTGAATCACTCGATTTCGTTGAGTATTGAAGAAGTTATGAACATTTAAAATTTACCTGGTTTCCAGCGAGTTTTCCAATTTTCCTGCGGACCATTCACCTTTCATGCTATTTTCTGGCTATCTCCGGCAACCATTGGGCTTTCAGATATGTATAATCTTGTTCTACATTTTCCTATCTTCATTTTGATATATTATGGGTCGAATTTAATTAAGAATCGATTGAGTTACAAAAACTTGAAAATTGTCCAAAGAGTTTTTAACAGAATGACCAAAATCATGGATGGTGGACAATCTCAATGACTATTTCTATTGATTTTCAATCTCAATAACTATTTCTATTGATTATGCAAGTTTCAGAGACCATTTTGACTATTTGGCCTTTTAATTTTAACCAATTTTATATTGATTCAAGAGTTGTCTTAGTCAAACAACTTTACTAAAGATTTGTCTCAAAAGTAAGAATAAAATCAATCTATCATTTCTTGCTTAAGGTTACTACTTTCACATATGATATTGACAAAGTGCCTTAAAATGAAATTGGATTCTCTCTCGTTCCTTTTCTCCTCCTCTTCCTCCCCTTCTCTAGTCTCTCGGTTTTCTCTCTTTTTTCAGAGAAGATAAAACAAGATGATGGTGTGAATTATTCTTGAGCGTTCGAATAAGAGTGATGGAGAGGAGATAATCAGATCCATTAAAATATGCTTTGTTAATGATACGGCATGTGCATTTCAAAAATTCTAGCAAAACACAAATTTCATGAAAACTCATGATAGCCGTGTGTGGCTTGTTGATATAACTTTGATGTTCACATGTCCAAATGTTATCAAAAGTAGCATCAATCGATTGTTAATTCGTTTTACTTTGGAGCCATATCGTTGATTGTTTTGTTCTAAAGTAGGATCTGATCGTAGAAATGAATGGTTTAATCCCTCAGAATAATACAAGTGCACTTAGAGTTCGGAGACGACTTTAATTTTAATGTCTTTTTATGTGTAGGGTGGGCGAGGTTGAAGGAAGCATAATATACAACTTGCAAAAGTTTATATCTTGAATGTACGTCATTTTGTAACCATGATTTTGTTATCTTTCAAATGTTTTTCACCGACTTGCAGTTTCATCAGTTTGAGACTCTCTTCAAAGTGAGCTTATTTTCAACTACTCACTTTTTGAATTTTTTTTTTTTTTTGGTCAATCGTATTGACAGTGTGCATGGATAGTTTTGCTTAGGTTGATCATATGCAATACGTTTTTCGCTTGAAAATTCATCAAGCACCACCATACAGCAACTTTTCAAGTAATGGGGTACTTGCCTATTCACTCATTGCCAAAGGTACTCCAAAAATCTTGATTGACAGTGTGCATGGATAGTTTTGCTTAGGTTGATCATATGCAATACGTTTTTCGCTTGAAAATTCATCAAGCACCACCATACAGCAACTTTTCAAGTAATGGGGTACTTGCCTATTCACTCATTGCCAAAGGTACTCCAAAAATCTTGAAATTCAACACGACTCCAATTCTCTTCACTGTTTGTCAAAATACATTCACGTGGCTTCGCAAGAACTGTTCCATCTACTCGATCATTCCATTCGTGACAACATCAAATTTCGCACAATAAGTTGGATCCTAGCTTTAGCTGTATGGTAGACAACTTTTAACACGAAATAATTGTTTTCACCTTTTTTTTTGACAAAAATATTCTAAAATGCTTTGATTTATGGAGAAGTGGATCCGAACTTGGGCGCAAGGGAGATGAAACGGGCACACTGACTTGGTCAACTGGTCTGACCCACAAATGCAAATGTTTCACATTAGTAATATATATATATTTATAGATGATTGCAGGAGGGGTAGTAGTAGGGTCACTCCTACTGTGTTGATTCATATATAGAGGAAAAAATAAAAACAAAAACAAAACAAACATGAAACGCATGCTTCATTATTTAGATTGCCTCAGAAAAACATAGATTTGTTCTAGTAAAATACAGGGTTTCTACTTCATTGATACCAATGCTGTAGAAGAATCTACTGGGGATTTTGGAGGATAAGACAAGTAAGGTTTGGGAGGTATCTGCAACGAATCAACACTCCCTTCCAACATATCTATCACTTCCTTCATCGCTGGCCGGTTTGAAGGATCAGTTTGTATGCACCACAAGCTCACTATCATCATCTTCCTTGCTCTTGCTTCGTCTTCCTCATTCGTAAATACTCTGCATACCAAAGCTCTTCGTCCCAATTCAAGACGTTGGTAAATCCAATGTGGAAAATATATTTCACTTGTATTTTCAGCTTCATCGTCCGTGTTCCTACTTCCCCCAACCATATTCGAAAGCATCATTCCATAGCTGTACACATCCGACTTGTGTGAGACCTTTCCAAAGTTTCTAGAAAATACTTCTGGAGCAATGTAACCTGCTGTACCTCTAGCGCCCAACATCGAGACAATACTCTCTTTCTTGTTGCATATTTTGGCAAGGCCAAAATCTGAGATTTTTGGCACGAAGTTTTCATCGAGAAGAATGTTGTGAGGCTTGATGTCGAAATGCAAAATTCTTGTGTTGCAACCACGATGTAAATACTCCAAGCCTCGAGCAACGCCAAGTGAAATTTGATCCAATGCTTCCCATCCCAAGTGATCATGACCTATATTGGGAGTATTTGAATCAAATATGAATTTCTCTAGGGATCCATTAGGCATGAATTCATAGATGAGAGCTCTTTTGGAACCCTCAAAACAAAAGCCTAACAAGGAGACGACGTTGACATGGGAAGTTCTACTAATGGCTGCCACTTCATTCATAAATTCTTCTCCATCTCCCGTTAGTTTGGTCAAGACCTTCACTGCTAAAAGACAGCCGTCCTTTAACTTTCCTTTGTAAACAGCACCATAGCCTCCACGTCCTAATTTTTCTTTGAAGGAGTTGGTCATGTTCTTGACCTCCAAATAGCTATACCTTCGGACTTGAAGCGGCCCGTAGCTCCTTAGAAAGGCCTCTACAATTTGACGATTTTGGTTTTGCTTCTTCCAAAAGAAAAGCAATCTGTATGATGACAACTTTCTTCTTAAGCAGCAAGCAATAACGATTAGAATTATGAGACCAGCAACTGCACCTGATGAATATACGGTGAATACGATGATTTATTCGATCGAATGGTAGCCATTGCGGACATGCTATAAACCTTATTACAACACATAAACTTAGAAAAACTAATCTAAGCAAGTTATAATTACCTATTGCGAATTTAGCGACTAAGTTTCCAGTTCCAGGTCCTGCACAATGATCATTATCTCATATCATAATCAAAAACCAAATTTAAAATTTTGGTTAGGACAACTAGATTAATACAGAATTACACACACTACCAATAAGATTATGTGACTAAGTTTCAAATAGTTTTTATCACAAATAATCATGAAGGATATTTTTCACGTTAAATCGTGATGATGTAGAGGTTCAGATTGACTTCACGGACCATCTTCTTCGTTAATATTTGATTAGAGGTGGCTATATTCAACCCTCCAGCCAGCAGCCGCCCTTAAAAAAAAGGAGGTTAATGCATGCATAACAATCATTTAATACTTGTGTGTTTCGATAAAATGTTTCCTGTTTCTAAGAGTTATATCCTTTGAAGAAAGGAATCGGATTATCGCACGTCAGATAAAGAAAGAAAGGTCATGTAAATGTATATACCTTTGGCGCATTTAAATTCTCCCTCTTCAACCCGGCATTCACCTTTGCTTTCAATACATTGAAAACATTCTGGTGTTGACAGGTTAAATTCAGCAGTCAATGAAGAGAACTTGTTGGGATGAAACGGACGCATGGGGACCTGAATGGTTGCACACCCTGGCGGCAGGGGGGTTAGGTAAACTACTGCTAAATGAAGCGGTATAATAAGTATGGTTAACATTTCTGCAGCCATAATTACGTTGTAGGTAAGAATTTTTGTTGCATTTGAAAGGGTCAGATTGTGTGTGAATAATGGTACTTCAAGGATTGGAGAAGCGCTAGGAAGACTCAAGTCGTCCAAAACTCCATCATCGCAGCGATCCTTTTCTAAGCGGTCGGCAAGGTCTCTGTCATTGATAGAAATCGAAGGTGAAAATAAAGAGCCTTGGAATTCATGCAAGTATCCTCCCTCTTTCAATTGGATTTTTGGCCGTTCGGGGTCTGAACAATTGACTGTGAACACTCCGCATTCACGAGGATCTTCCGTGCTTTTGAAGGGGAAGCTGATATTGCCTACTGAGCTACTGCAGAAGTGGACTTGACAATGTTCTTCTGGATATCCAGCAGAGTGCAAAACCACAAGGTGAGCAAGAACGGCGAGAATAAACAAAGCCACCGGAGCCATCCGAAGATTCCGAGCTGATCAACAAGAAGAAAGCGCCGCAAAGGAAGAACAATAAGAAAATCTACTCCTCCTCTTCAGAACAAGAGTGTTGAATTGTTTAGAGGTTCAGAATTCTTTGTTTGCAATATATTAAGGAAATTGGCTGTTTAACACGCCAGTTGACTTGGAAATTAGGAGACGGAAGACTTGTGGAAACTAACCATGTAAAAAAGTTGATTGATACACACTGTTTGATTGGTTGGCTTAAAGACTTCCATGGCCTATTAGGGAAGTTTCCTTCCCAACTTCCCCAATGACCAGCTCCAGAAAGACTTTGACCCCTTGACTCTTCAACCATTCTCGTCACGATGATACTATTCAAAAATCCTCGAAACTCCTCTGAACCACCACATTACGGAAAGGATCGACTGTTCAGTGTTCACCCGTAGCGTCGTGAAACATGATTGGTCTTTCGTGTCCGGCCCGTCTCGCTTTCGGGTCTGCCACAAGTTGTGGGGACGCTGCAGTTTTGGTAGTAAGAGTCCACAGCAAATGCTGGGGTTTCTGATGAGAGAAGGAAGATCAGAATGAAGATGCAGAGGTTTTGATTCATTGTAAATTTTAGAGAGAGAGAGAGAGAGAGAGAGAGAGAGAGAGATGAGAGCGAATTACAGTACAGTAATAATGTTGAGATGTTGGAAGGTGAGTAGAAAATGTGAGTAGAAAATTTGCATACTTTTCATTCCTCGGTCATAAAACATATCGGGGATACACGGCAAATACCAAAATTTGCGTACTTTTCATTCCTTGGTCAATGGCCAAATGAGCAATAATGTGAGCAGAAAATGTCTTCATTTTAGAGATTGGCTTGTTTAGTACTTAGGATTGAATTTTAATGGATAATTTTCTAATATCAAGGCATACTGAAGGTATAAATAATATTTTTTTTTTACATAAAACGGAATAGAAAATGATTAGGTATGAAAAAAACTCATCCCTCCTAATCCTCTCATTTGAAATTAGAGAATTATCCACTCCAATCTTATCCTCCATAGTGCCTTGAAATTAGATAATTGTCTATTCCAATCTTATCCTTCGTACCAAACAAGACTTCAATATTAAATTTAAGATAATATTGGTTTGGACATGAATTTGCATAGGTCCTATCTTGTTATAAAATGAAATATTTGCTCACACGTCATGATTAACTAATCATATGCAGATGGTTTTTTTTTTTTTTTTTTTTTTGGGATAAATCAAACCCTCTGCTCTTTCCTTTTTGGTGCTAAAATCGTCTGATCTTTCTTGCTCCTAATAAAGAAAAAAAGAAAAATGAAATGCATAATATAGAGCTGCTCATAATTTGTTCAAGTAAAACACAAGGTTTCTAGTTTTTACTTTATTGATACCAGCATGGTAGAAGAATATGCGAGAGATCTCGGAGGAGAATAAAAGTAAGGGTTGGGTGGTATCTGCAACGAATCAACAAGCCCTTCCAATATCTGTCACTTCTTTCATCGCTGGCCCGTTTGAAGGATCAGTTTATATCTTCCTCGTTCTTACTTTGTCTTCTTCGTTCCTAACACTCTGCAGACCAATTTCTTCGTCCAATTCAAGTTGTCGAAAACTTCATTGTTGCAGGAATTTCTTCCAAAGTGCTCCCGCAACTGTGTTTATGATAAAAATCGAAGATGATAGAGGGCCTTCAAATTCATGCATGTGTCCTCCCTCTTTCAGTTGGGTACTCGGATGAAGTTGGTCAGAATAATCAACAGTGAACAATCCGCATTCAGGAGGATGTGTCCTGCTTTTGAAGGGGAAGCGGATATTGCCATCTCATTACTTGTTCGGCGGAGTAAAGAGCCAGAGGCACAGAGTGAGCGAGAACAGAGAAAAGAAACAGAGCCCTTCTGTTGTGTGTTAACAACAATACAATAGCAATAGCAACTCAAGGCACTTGGATAACTGATAGGATTTTTACCACCTGCAAAAGTAAAGATAAAAATACTTTTAAGAGAATAAGGTAATTACAGTATAAACGGCTTAAACAAGTTCATTCTCCATAAAAAAATGAATAAATAATTTGTATTTAAACTAATTCTTAATTAACTATTTAAAACAAGGTTTGAAAAAGATTAATTTTATGACTTAATAATATAAACGAATTTAAGAAAAACAATTTAAAAATTCAACTAGAAAACAATCTAAAGAAAACCAATTTGAAAATAAATGTTTTGAAAGAACAGTAATAGAAAAGGCACTAGGGTTCCGCACTTTTGCCTACTATTTCGGAATAATTAAAAAAAAAGTAAAGAACTAGGAAATAATGAAGCATTCTTACTAGTAATAACCTTCGTAAATATTCAACTTAGATAATGAACGTGTTCTTACCGGTAAGAAGCTGTGTAAATATTCAACTCAGATATTGAATATGTTCTTACCGATAAAAACACAAGTAAATATTCATCTCCAGTATTGAACGTGTTCTTACCGGTAAGAACATGTGTAAATACTCAGCTCAGATATGGAACGTGTTTTTACCGGTAAAAAGCTGTGGAAATAAAAGATGCATGCCATGACTTGTCTTGACACGCTAACCCTCGCATCGTGGCGCGCCAAAACATCATTGTTGGCATGCGATGACATGTCATGGCACGCATTTTGCTGACGTTTTGCGTGCTTGGCATGACTTATCTTGACACGGTAACCTTCGCATCGTTGGACATAATTTTTTCATTTTTGTCCTAATAGTTCCTTGAAATTAGAGAATTATCCGTTCCAATCTTATCCTCCATACCGAACGAGGCTTCAACATTAAATTTAAGATACGGTTGGATTGGACATGAATTTGCGATAGGCCCCAATGATCTTGTTATAAAATGAAATATATGCTCACATGACATGATAAAACTGATCATAGCTTCATTGTCATCCCTGTGATTCTGTTAATTGCTTGCTTGCCAAGTCTTGTTTCTTTGCTTGTTCCTGAGTGGACTGCAGAATGTAGATGGTTTTTTTGGGGGATAAATCAAACCCTCTGCTTTTTTTTTTCTTCTTTTTTTTGGGTGCTAAAAGCCTAAAACCGTATGATCTTTGGAGGAGAAGACAAGTGAGGCTTGGATGGTTTCTGCAATGAATCAATACTCCCTTCCAACATATCTATACTTCTTTCATCGCTGGCTGGTTTGAAGGATCAGTTTATATGCACCACAAGCTCTCTAAGATCATCTTCCTCGCTCTTACTTTGTCTTCTTCGTCCCTAACACTCTGAAAATGAATTTCTTCATCCAGTTCAAGTCGTCGAAAACTTCATCCTTGCAGGAATTTCATCCATAGTGCTCCTGTAGCCGTGTTTTTGATAAAAATCGAAGATCATAGAGGGCCTTCGAATTCATGCCAGTATCCTCCCTCTTTCAGTTGGATCCTCGAACGAAGCTGGTCTGAACAATCAACAGTGAACAATCCGCATTCAGGAGGATGTGTCCTGCTTTTGAAGGTTGAGCGACAACAGAGAAAAGAAACAGAGCCATTCTGTTGTGTGTTAACAATACAATACAATAGCAATAGCAACTCAAGGCTTTTGGATAACCTACTTGTATTATTTCTTCACAGCATATATTATTGATTCAAAGTCTCCCATACAATATAGAATCAAGACCTAACTTGGAAAATTCAGTTATACAATATAGAAGTGATTTTCGCACTTTCCTTTCTCCTCCTGGGCGCCTTCGTGTTTCTCTGTTTTTCTAGCCTTCGGATTGAACAAATCAACAGAAAATCACTTCCGTTCATTTGTTAATTTACTTTTAGTAACGATTATTGTATTCGAGTTCGACACACTTTTGTTTTGCCCAATACCCCGACAAAATAGACTCGAAAGAGGTTTCCTTGCACAAGACCTTCCTCAACTTCTACAACTCATTCCAAATTACTTATCAAATTTACATATACATTTCATGTATCACTAAAGTAAAGATTCAAACAATATTGGCTGGCCTACGAAGACGGATTACCAAACAAAGGGACTAAAGGGTTAAAAGAATGGTGGCGAAACAATGCACAAGCTACCTATGCTACTCTGACTCCGCTAGGGCGTTTTCCTTCCATGGCATCCTTCTTGTTACGACAATCAGAACAGAGGAACGGCCCTTGCCAAGGCTTTGAACTGGTTGAGAAGATAGAACCCGCGTGAACCGATATGCCCTCGCTCGGTGCAAGGTCAACTTGGCATACAGCACACATGAACAGCCCAGATGTTGATTGTGGTGTGCACTCATCGCTGCCCAACCTGCAACACATTTGACATTGATAATCATTCCCAGGTGCAACACCAAATAAACGATACCAAAATACCACATTTCACAAGAAGCCAACCCGCAATTTGAACTTGCAACTCAACAATAAGGTTTATGATACCTATATATGAAACTCCACTTCGATATGCTATACAAGACTAAAATTAATGACATCGTTGAAAATTTTCTTTTCCAATTTTAGTAGACAACCGGAGTGAAACTCTTCAAGAAACTTTGCATCGAATCAACTAACTTGAGTGAAGAGAGAATCAACTACCTTTCAGCAAGCATAGCAGACCCTTCTTCAAATAACTCCTCCACAATACCCACAGCCGATAGCTTCTTGGATAGTTTATTAGCAGAAGCACACGATTTCTTTCTGAAAAACAGGGTCCTAAACTTGTTAATCTTTTTTGGCGGAGGTGAAGGCTCTACCGTAGTATCAGGAGGGATTATGTCAACAACTATGCAGGTTGTATCATCCTTTAGACCCCTTGACCTTAATGCCTCCTACAACACAATCCATCATCAATAAGAAAGAGTTCCAGCCTTTGAGATTATACATGCATATTGCAAGAAAAAGGCCAAGTAGTTCAAACAACCTTCACAACTTGTCTGGCAGCTAGTTCAGCTGGCAACCCACGGCAAGACTGTGCTGCCATTTCGGAAGATATAGCATCCCAGATGCCATCCGAAGCAATTATAAGCCTCCCACCGGCATTTGATAGCTTTTAAAACAATATAAGAATGTTAGCTTTCAGGCTAAACAATACTTGGCATTGAATTTAATAAAACCAAGTTAAAAATTTAATTTCCACGCAGAGGAAGATACCTTGACTTGTTTCACATATGGTATTGGAACTATAAACTCCCCAACATCCATGTCTCCAATTGACCTAGAAAGGCATAACCCCCCTGGCCAACAACGGAGGGGACCAATCTGTAAATGTCAAGCAACACATATTACACAATGAAAACCATATTTTAATTAAAACATAGCCACAGAAGTATCCCTTTCTTTTTTTTCGTCAGGGAAAAAAAGATCTAAAAGCACTCACCTCTGCACCACCAACAATGCTCAACCTCCCAACTTCCCCACCACTTGCAGCAACACGCTCCCTCCTACAATTACAAATCAGATATTCAATTAGCAAATCCAGGGAACAGTAAAAATAGAGGAATGTTATTAGATTTCAGTAGATACATACTCCTCTACATTTTCTTCAAGTCTGTGATCAACAGTTAAGGTGGAAACGGCACCACCCTGAGTATCTAAGATACAACGGGAGTCTCCTACTGATGCAACTGTCACGGTCCATCCATCAACTATTACAAAGGTAGCTGTTGTTCCAGAAGTTTCACCTGGCGACAATAATAAGAGTAGAAAGAATTAGTACGTATGTGCTGAAAAATATGAGGAAAAAACAGAAAGAAGAACAAAAAGACTAAGCAAGTTGCAAATTCCACACCTCTGCTCTGGAAATCCTTGTCAGTCTTCACAAACCCAGCAACCAAGGCTCGAGGTAAAGCTTGGAGCCACTCCTCCCTTCCTAGCCCACGGGGAATAGCACCCAACACATGCTTTAACAAATTCTCCCTTGTATATACTGCTGCAGCATTTCCATTGTGCCCATCAAAGATCTGACAATCAGTAAAAGAACAGTGACTATTATACCTGATTTGCAGCATATTTGATAGCTAAAGGAAATTGGTTTGAGCACACGGATTCATTCCATAATCTAAAACCAATAGTACATGAAATTTTCGAAAAATATCTCGTTCACTGCCTATGTTGGAAGGGAACAAACTAATATAGTCCGGATCAAAAATTTACAGTGAACAAGACAGGGGACTAAGGAACTAAATGATTAGAGCATAGAGGTGAGCACTGATATGTAGTATTCAACTTTTGGGACATTCACCATGGTACAACAACATACCAGAGCTAAGTTGCCAAGCTCTGGCTCTATAATCTAGCAAATATAAGAGACTTGGGCTTACCGCAAATGCGGTGAATGCTGATGAAGAATTCCCGGGTACTCGCTGACCATCAGTCTTGATCAGGAAATAATCCTCCCCTTTCCTGGATTGAGCTGCATGCCCATATCTGACAGTTGGCTTCTCCATCTTCTCACTCTTCAGCTCTCTGCTGATCAATGCAGCCAGAGGCACCATATTATGATGCTGACGCCTATCTCCGGACGCCATAACTACCTCACCGCTGTGTTTGCCGGAGGCCCAAGACCTTCAAACTATCTAACTCTTTTTTCCTCAATAGCATACTAATGCAAAACACCACAAAGATCCTACAATTTTTCGTAATCAATGACCTCAAAACCCACGAACTTCTTTGCACAAATAGCACAAAGTCCAATCCTAACAACGAAAGATCGAATCTTTCACAATCAACAACTGATCTGCATTTATCATAAGACAAAACAAAGAACAACGTCAACAGATTGGTTATATCAACAACCATATGCTGTCTCACTTGCCGACATATGTAAGTAAAACAAAACGGGAAAGGTTACATCTTGGATATTCCATCATTTGGCAACCGAAATCATACAAAACAGAAGTAAAACGTCACTAATAAGCATGTATTCAGCTAACCCAGAAGACAAAGAACTGAAATTTACGTTTTATTCTACATTTTTTCTCACCTTTTCTTGTTCGTAATTTCTCGGCAACCAAACAGATGAACAAAGATTCCAAGCGACAGGAAAGAGAATGTCTGACTGAGAAACCAAAGCAGATCCGATTGCGACAGTAATAAGCAACGCCGACGACTACGACAACACCAGAAGAAAGAAATCACGCAATAAATAAATCAAGGCGGTGGCGCAACGCGTTTTGGTGACGAGGTATGAACTGTAAGACCCATTAATCAAATCAAACACCCCCAAATCCTTAATCTTCCGATTAAAAAATTGAACCTTGAATTCATGCGAGTCAGCAGCAGCTTCACAACCTTTTCCTTCCCACCGAACACCCACGATTATTTAAAAAAAAAATCCAAACTTTCTGGGGTGAAAAAGAAATGGCAGAGAAATTGGTGGCAAAAAAGCAAACTATTTTGATCGAAATTCTAAAGAGAAATTGCAGAAAAGTGGTACGGCTGACTATGAAGCAATGCATCCATAAACCCACATTTTGCTTCTGAAAAAAGTCGGTTTCTTTATTTCTCCGAAACCAATTTGTTTTTCCCCAAAAGCAAAAAGCCAAAAGCAAGAGGCTTTTATTTTTTTCCCGGGAAAAAAGTTCACTAGTGTGGAGGGGATACAAAAGAGAGATTTGGGTCCACATAGAAATTATGTTGGTTGTTTGTGATTGCTCTAAAAACAGGGGATCACAAGGTTGGTCGTTTACCTAACAGATCTTGCAGGAGAGTTTTCCGGGAAATTATTGTTAAGCTAATCAATGTTAAGAGCATTTGGTGCACCTATTTTCACAGTTTAGGATATTTACTTATCTGTGAGTGAAAGATCCAATAGTATCTCTACTTATTCTTAAGGTATAATAGATTTTTCAGTATGTCGAAAACGGTTTGATATACAATTATAATAAGAAAATTTTAACTTGATTTTTTATGTATTCTTTGTTACATTATATTTTTTACATTTTGATAATATTAACATAAAAATTATGTTATAAATATAAGGTGACAAAGAGGACGAAAGAAGTGATGGCGATGATGTGGACGAGGTGCATGTGTTTCTGTGATGGCGATGATGTGGACAAGGTGCACAGTGAGCACGTTGCATGTGGTTAAATGGGAACCGGATCCATCTTTCAAATTTGAGTCTACTAATCAATGAATCCAGATCATTAAAATTTGATCAAAAAACTACAATTAAGAAGTTTCTCTAAAAGTTATAATAATTATATCATTTTAATCAAATTTTAATGATTCGATTTCTTTGATTAGTTAGCTCGGTTTTAAAGGATCTGGAGGGAATTCGGTTCCAATTAAATAAGTGCGATGCTGCGTTTGCAGATGTCTGTAAACCCTAAATCCTGTTTACCTGTAGCCCCTCAGCCTCAGCTTTGTAGGGTCACCCTTTGCTTTTCACTCGAGGATTTTTCTTGTCCCCACCCTCCTAGTCAATGCCAATGCTGATGATGGTTGGTGATGCAATTTGACATACAACGTGTTCATTGTTACCGCAATGTTCTGCTCATTTAATATAATATTAAGTAATTTTTTTATGTACAACGTTGTTACATTGCATTATTAGACGAGAACGTGACACGGTGGTAAACTCGTTAAATTTTGTATTGGTTGTTCTCAAAGGGAGGACCACGTTTCCTCTCATCTCAATTTTCATATGTATTTTTGTTGTTAAATTGCTTTAATTCTTTCAGCGTTGTTGTGTGTTTGTGATTAAGTATAATTAATTAGATGATTAAGCGCGGCAGCATGTGGGTTGTGGAGTTATTAAGTTGGCCATACGTATACCGTATTTGCAAATTTTGCATATGCAGGGTAGGGTTGCAGTATGCAGGCTTGTAGCCCTCATGGGGCTAATCCAACTACTTAATTTTAATATGATGGTATCCAATGTTAGATCCAACTCTATCTTAGTTTCATTTCAAATAGTAAACTTTGTTGTTCGGATACATTAAAACAATAAGACAAGATAAGGCACCAAAAAAAGACTATTTATCTCAGAGAGATTTACGTAAAATTCAAGGAAAACGCCCCCCTCACATAAAAGAAGTGGAAGTGTGGAACATCTTCAATAGAGGAACCGTGTGGGTGGGAGGGGATTGAAGGATTTGGATCCTCGTCGGATCCTCTTTCTGTGAATCCTAGGGACCAACGCAAGTGAACCGTTGATCAAAAATCGTATAGCCACAATTAAATGCTTTTTATATTTTTAAAAGTAAAGTAGCCTCGTTTTGCGTGAAAAATTAAAAAAGAAAAAAATTGTGGCTGCACAATTTTTAATCAACGGTCCACGTGCGTTGATTCCTAGGATTCCCAAGAAGAGGATCCGACGAGGATCCAAATCCGGGATTGAATCATTCATTCATCAAATATGTCTTCTTCCGTAATACATTTCCTTTCGACTCGAATTAGTTATCAAAATACCTACTTTACAAAAGAAATGTCGTTTTCCAGAAACCTTGCAACCACCTGGGTTGTATTTACTTCATCGACTATGTACTCGCCGCCCAATCCTTCCCAACTATGGCTGCCAAACTATAGAGTTCCTTTCATGTTTTCTTATTAATTATCTATTTACTTAGAACGAAAAACATTAATTAGAACTAAATTAAATCTGAACAAAAAATAAGAAATACAAAAGACAGAAAATGGACGTGTAATATAGTTTCTAGTTTTTTTAGTTGGGGTCGTTAATTATATTTTGAGATTCACACACTTTTAACTATTTAAAGTAACATTTCGAAATCATGAATTTTATTAAACACGAAAAAGTTGGATTAAAAAATATACTCGATCAAAATCACATGGGCAACTAATATAATGCAAGTGATTTGATTTGTTATCAACATTCTTTAAGTAAAGACAAACTCCTCTTACGCGTGCTTTATCATTGCCTAGTGTGTTTCCATAAACCTTCATTACCTGATCTGATGAGAAACACCAATGCTAATGTATGCCCTCGGTGACATAGTAGAATTTTTTTCGAAAAAAACTACATAGTATACACAATTTTTTACATGATCCTGATCAAAACACTGACACTAATGTATGCAATCGATGACACAGTAGAATCTCTTGTCGAGTAAACTATATAGTATATGCAAGTTGCAAGATCAGTATGAGTGTGAAAGCGGCTGTGTGTCTGTGGCTGCAATTAGAGTAGAAAATTGTGAACAATATTGACAGTGCAATTTAATTCGAGTACATAATGAATTGAAGATGGGAAAGTTGCAGTTGGAACGGATGTGTCTGGTACAGGTTTTAATAGGCATCTTATGAATTGACTAAGATAAGAACAATACCGCTATCCGATATTGCATGTGCTAAGTGTTGCATCATATGAAAATGAAAGAGATTTTATCAAAGTATCATTGGCGAAGTCATAATTTTTAAATAATATGATCATCATATAAACCAAAAATAGCTTTACATGGTCATTTCGTAGAACACTTAGTAGGCACGTAGTAATTTCTGTCAACATAAACCGATACTTATGGTAACATATTTCGACAACTACTATTATGTATAGAGGCTTGTTGAGGGTGAATGTAAGATATTGTAGCGTGATGTCGAAGACTGTCAAGGCTTGTCAACTAAGGGATTTTATGGAGCACATGGGGCGCACAATAGGGTTGCACACAATAAGAGAAAAAAGGAAGACAAATATGATAGTAAAAAAATATAAGAAGTAGAAGAAGGAGGTTGTAATTTAGTTTGCCTTAATTGTTTAAATGGGTCAAATACAATACACATACAAATATACATGAGGTTTTTGAGGTTGTTAGGATCAAGGACAATCAATGATCATGTGCTAGCTCTTCCATTACCAAGTACTCGATTGATAAATGGGAGAAAAACTTATAGAAAGCATTTCCGATCACGTTATTCGTAGCCTCGTAGGACACCTCCGCAAATGCTTGAAACTTTATAAATTTTAGTCTTATGAACTCGCATAGATCTTATTTAGTGTGAGAGTAGTCATAATCAGATAATCTTACCGAATTTTTTGTTTATGTCTTTTCCTTCGTTATCAGATGAAGAACAAATTCCCTAAATATGAATTGACACTTTAAATGTCTTTCAAATTAATCACGCTTTAGAATATTCCCCAACTTGTATTTATAGGTGTCTTCAACAACCGCTTACCAAACTGAGATTGGGAATTTTCCAGTTGGTGCCTCGGATCCATCGTCCACATTCACATACTGTTCTGCCTTTTGGTATTTTTGAAAAATACCAAATTAAAAATAGAAAATAGTTTTTTGGTTTTGAGGAACCGGGCAAGTACAGGCTGGGAGAATGGGCCTATCTGGGCCCTACAGCCATGCTCGTCCCCCAACAGGATATTTTCTGGATTTTTTTACGAGGACATTGAGAATTCGTAAATCGTGTTAGTTCATCGAACATTTTGTAATCAGTTTTTGTCAAATACTGTTCATATTTAATTTTAAATAAAAATATTTAAAATGATTTCTGATTATACGATGTACGATAAATGGATATGATTCATGAATTTTTTGGATTATTTACCATAAAAATATATGATTTATGAATTTTCGAAATCCTCGTAAAGAAAATCCGACGAGGATACGAATTCACTCGTCCCCACGTAAGACGGTCAGAAAGCCACTGCGTACCCGCCTGGGCCCCCGAAATCATGATATCTTTGCTGAAAGATACCCCAAGAAGTGAACTTGTCCGGTAGGGGATTTTGTGTGTGATGGTTTTAAGCCCACTAAACCAAAACCTTTACTTTTCCTTTTTAACTCTCATTATTGTCTAATTTCCTCTATGATTGACAAGAAATTTGAATACTGTAATTGTGGCGTCTCATACTAATAAGCTGATATAATTATTGAGTATTTTTATATAACATTGTACGATTGACACAAAACGTTCTGTCGACATTGTTAAGTTGTTCTTCTAATCTTGTGTAAATTTAGCATAAATGCTCTTTGGTGAAAGTAATTTGCCAAAGGTGCTTCATAGCTGGTTTGTTATTGATGTGCTTTGAAAAAAAAACTGTTTCTATTGTGCTGTGAGAATAAGCACATTTTTGCTGCTTCACGTTTTTAGCTTTTTTTTCACAAAAAAATGTGAAAATAAGCTGTTTTTAAGTATTTACCAAATACATTTTTTAGCTCAGTTTTTTTTTATACCCACTTTTTATAAAAGTATCTCAGTACCAAACCGGTACTTGGTCTGTGTTTCTAGGCTTTTGGCATGCTCTTTTTTGGGCCGAATTCTTTAAACCTTTTGAATGTCAGCCCATAATTAGTTGGGCCTCTCTGACTTTACGACTTTGGACCCAAGCGAAGAAGAAAAGCCTAATAACCTTGTTGTTATAATGTAACAGAAAAAATATGTGGCATTATCAAATCAAAATCACTTTGTTTGTTTGTCGGAAAGTCACTTTTTTTTTTAATTGAGATAGTTAGTTGATCCGAGAGAATTTTCAGTTTGTCAAGAATACGATCTGATACAATAAGTGTCATAATACTAATAATTGAAATATCAAATCTTAATTACTTGTATTATAACACTTTATGTATTGAATCCGATTTTCAGCAAATTGAAAATTTTCTAATTGAACGCTCTCTCCTCGTAAAGCAGGCCAATGTCAATAGACAAGAATTTCTCAAGCTATGAAATCCATCATTGGCTACCTCAGCATACAAAAACAAAATAAACATACTTTTGCATATTTGTCTTTCACATCACAAATTTTAAAACTAGGGAAAAATTTAGAGGAAGTTAAATTGGTTAAAGTAATGTAAATTTTATGTCGAGCCAAAAAAAAGAACTTTTATGTACTTGAAATCGAAATTTTGTTTTCATAAATTTACACTAGCAAACTCTACAAATGCTATGCATATGTAGGGAAATGTGAGAAGAATCTAAAATTGGAATTGAATTACATTAATGCCCTTGATTTTAAATTAAATTTTAAACTCTTTGACATTTAAAGGTTATAATAGTCATAAAATATCATAAGCTCTCAAAATTCAAAAACAAAAAGTAAATTGAAGAAATTCATGAAATATCTTTTTGTTTAAATACTACGATTTAACGTACACTAAATAGTGAATTGTGACATCCCACATCGCTTAAGGGAGTAATCCTTAAATGTATATTCTCATCCCTACCTAGAACGAGGCCTTTTGGGAGCTCACTGGCTTCGGGTTCCGTATGAACTCTGAAGTTAAGCGAGAAGGAGGCCGGAGCACTTCCATGATGGGTGACCCACTGGGAAGTTGCTTGTGAGTTCCCAAAAACAAAACTGTGAGGGAATGGTAAGCCTAAAACGGACAATATTGTGTTACGGTGATGGAGCGGGCCCAGGAAGTGGTTCGCTCGGGGCCGGGATGTGACAAATGGTATCAGAGCCAATTCCTGGGCGGAAGTGTGCCGACGAGGACGTCAGGCCCCTAAGGGGGGTGGATTGTGACATCCCACATCGCCCAGGGGAGTGATCCTTAAATGTATATTCTCATCCCTACCTAACACAAGGTTTTTTGGGAGCTCACTGGCTTCGGGTTCCGTAAGAACTCCGAAGTTAAGCGAGAAGGAGGCCAGAGCACTCCCAGGATGGGTGACCCACTGGGAAGTTGCTCGTGAATTCCCAAAAACAAAACCGTGAGGGAATGGTAAGCCCAAAACGGACAATATCGTGCTACGGTGGTGGAGCAGGCCCGGGAAGTGGTCTGTCCCGGGCCGGGATGTGACAGAATTATCAATAATATTTTGACTTCAAGTACGCAATTAACAACCGAATTTAAAATTCACTAGAGAAATACCATCGAACTGTAGTGATGATTGTTGAGTGGTCTTAAAATGTGTATCACATTCATGCCTATTAGCCAGAAATTGAGTTTAATTGAAGAATAACGTTAAGTAGAGCCATTTTTTCGATCAAAATTTCAAATTATATAATGCATCAATATAAATAATAATTCAATCATAAACAATTACAATATATTATTTACAAAATTTGATTTAAATAATCGATACCCTGCACCCACCCACTTATATTTTTGGCCAGAAATTAACCTATCCGAGAAAGAAAATAGCCGTTTTGCTAGTTTTCTAGTTTCCTTTCCTCGACGGATTCCTCCTCGTCATTTCCCATTTCCAAATTCCAAATCCGAAGCAGAGCTCTGCGTACCTGACACGTCATTTTCCACCACTTAACCCCCTTCAAACAAGTCAGGCGGCGACGACGACGGCGTCGTACCTCCAGAATACTGACTCTCAACAGTCCTTAGAACTTCCGACCCCAAATCTCCCCCCTCCCCCCCTTATCAAATCAGTATATATACATGTATGTATATACATACACACACTGCGACTGGCCATGAAAATTACCTTTGATTTGAGTTTGAAGAAGCAGCTCTAGAGGGAGGCTAGAGAGGGCTTCGACGACGATGGGTGTTGTGGCCGAACATTCCGATCGCCAATCTATCAGAGATGTCATCTGCCACGCCGGTGCTGGCGCCTCCGCTGGTCAGTTATCTTCCTCCTTTGCTCTTCTGCGATTCCCATTTCTAGGGTTTCGTTCATTTGGGCACGCATTTGCAAATCTGATGAATTTATTGCAAATTGATTGAACTGTAAGCTTTGCAGGGGCTATGGCGGCTACATTTGTATGCCCCTTAGATGTCATCAAGACTAGGCTGCAGGTCCATGGCATGCCTTCTGGTCAAAGAGGTATTCTTCAATTTTCAGAGACGAAGCTTTATTATTCCCTTGAACAAATTATGCTTTGTTTATCAATTCTGGGATGAAATTCTGTGTTTTTATTTATTTTAAGGAACTTATCGATTGCAAGTATCGATTTTTGACGATATTAGATTCATTGGGACTATGGGAGCACATGTTTAGGGGGAAAGGAATTGTAGTCGGATTAAAGTTTCAGTTTTGTGAACTCTAGTGTATTCGTATATATGAGAAAATTTGCATTGACCAGATGTATGCCACATTTCTTGTTATTTGGTGAACCGGCTTCAGGTGGCTTTGTGTTTGTTCTATAAATTTTTTATATGGCTCATTGCCATTTCGAGGATATTTTCCAATCGATCTATTTGTAGTATATATGGTTCATACTTACACATATCAGTATAACTGTTCTTCTTTGTTTTCCTTTTGGCCTATGATCAGGTAGTATCATTGTCACGAGCCTACAAAAAATATTAAAGACAGAAGGTGTGAAGGGGATGTACCGGGGCCTTTCACCTACAATTCTAGCGCTACTTCCAAACTGGGCAGTGAGTATTACTTTTGTTGCCTTATATTGTGAAACAAATCTTTGAGAGCCCTTATCTTGTGGAAACTTGAGTTCACAAAGATTTTGGGGCCCTCGGTCAGATCACATGCTACTTTTTTTTCCTGTATACTTTTTATAATTTTCCTGGAGCCATATGTACTCTGTTCGTATGCAGGTGTACTTCACAGTTTATGAGCAACTCAAAGGCCTACTCCACTCTCATGGTTGGTTTTTCCAAATGTGGCTTACTTAAAAGTTTATGTTTGTCTCTAATTATTTCTTATGAGACGCATAGTATTCCCATATTCTTGGTTTTAGTGTAGAGCATTGGGTAATATATAATAGTATTCAGTTAGTTTTTAAACATTTACTGTGGTCATACTGTAGTTCATGGCAGCGGAGAACTCACAATTGGTGAAAATATGATTGCTGCTGCTGGTGCCGGGGCTGCCACAGCCATTTCAACAAATCCATTGTGGGTTGTTAAGACCAGACTTCAAGTAAGTTTACTGTTTTTATGTTTGTAATTCATTTAAGATTTTCATTTTATTGCTTTCTATAGCACAATGACCTGTTATTTTATGGCATTCTGTTTGACTGGGACTGGAGACGTTGTTTTTTCTATCATGTCCTCGACTTGAGATGTCAGGAGAAAGTAAACTATGAAAAATCGGGAATAAAAGATAGTAAATAGTTCAACTATGCAGACTCATATTTGCTAGAGATGGTCCTATAGTGTTTACGGTTTTCTGAGAAATGTCCGGGCATATTTTATTCTTGGGGTTGATGCTTAACCAATGTCTAACCAGGCTAATGAATCTCTTCCACATAATTACATGTTACCTTCTGACTTAAAACTCAACCCTCATGGATTTAGAAAAATCTCAAGGACTCCGCACTGATTAATTTTGCTCGTTTGAACTTTGTCATTTTTGTACATTGATATTTTCTTCTTGATCACCTTCGTTTAGACACAAGGAATGAGGCCTGGTGTGATTCCTTACAAAAGCATGAGATCTGCTTTCTCAAGGATTACAACTGAGGAAGGCTTGCGAGGTTTATATAGGTCATTTTTCTTTCCAAGTTACATCATGTGGATATGACACTAAACTGGGAATTTTATATTTGATATTGCTTAAATACTGATCGAATTTTTTTCCATTCGGTGAAAGGAATTCTGCTCAATTGATTAGATTAAAATTTATTCGCGTGGTTTCCCTTAATGATACCTCTTTGTTTGCATGTGTGGTTTCAAACAGTGGGATCTTGCCTTCTTTGGCTGGAGTAAGTCATGTTGCAATTCAATTTCCTGCTTATGAAAAGATAAAGTCTTTCATGGCAAAAAGGGGTAAATGTTATTTGTTTACTTCTTTGATGAACTGTTTTACTTGAAAATTCAGTGTTTTTTAATTAATTAATTATATCTGACCCCATAAATTTAACTTTTCAGATAATACAACTGTTGATAAGTTACACCCTAGTAGAGTTGCCTTTGCCTCATCGGTATCAAAAGTAATCGCTTCTGTAATAACATACCCTCACGAGGTATGTTGAGCATGAACTTCTCAGTAAACTGCTCTTAAGAGTCGTGTCTTTCTTTCTCATATTTTATTTTGTTGTCCTGACTGAATCAATTATCTCCAGGTTGTGCGCTCGAGGCTGCAAGAGCAAGGGCAGGCCAGACACATTGGAACCCAGTATGCAGGAGTAATTGACTGCATAAAGAAGGTGTTCCAAAAGGAAGGCCTTCGTGGATTCTATAATGGTTGTGCTACTAATCTAATAAGAACCACTCCATCTGCCGTTATTACATTTACCAGTTACGAGATGATAGATAGGTTCTTGCGGAGGGTTGTACTTCTAGAAAACGAGCATTCAGAAGGCCACCCTAACTCTGTCGGCCAAGCCGAACCTCACCAGGGAAATGGAGGTACCGAGAGAGCGGGGAATGACTCTGCGCTGCGGCAATCACAAGCCCAAACAAATCAGACTCCAATCCCCCTTGGAACCAAAGAGCCGCTAGCGGCAAGACATGGAAGGACTCCACCTTTTTTTTGAATTTACCTTTTGATCGTAAGATTTTTTTCTGTAATAATTGAATTAAATAACAAAATAGATGAAAAAAGTCCCTTCGAAATCATCGAGCTCTTTGCAACTTTTCTTTTTCCCAAAGGGAAGACTTGCTTTAGCATGTGTAGTGTAAGCTGTTCTCCCAACATTCATGGTCCTGGGCCTCTTTAGCCACTTTAACTTTAGAAAGGAACCTCGAAAGGATGGTAATGGCGTGCATGGTCACGAATGAATGAAATTTCATCGATTTTGTCTCGAACCTCTTTTTCTTCCGAAACAAGGGAAGGATCGTCTTCGGTGGATCCCTCTAGTTCTTGTTCCGTCCCCTTCATTTCGGAAGTTGTTTCTATTCAAAGTAGTTCTAATTCAAACGTATTTCTTTTGCCCATATTGCGAGAGGTTCCAGTTTTTCACGAGTTCAAATATTTTTTAATACAAACGATAATGGCACGAAAAAATGGAGAATTGAAACGAAATCATAAAGTCGAACGTACGATAATGCTTGTAACTACGAGTCCAAGGACGGCAGCTACAAATTATACAATGCAATACAAGATCGATTTGTATCGGTATATTTGGACCAGGATCATGAGAGACGGCCGACCACACAGCAAACAAAAAAAACTCTAATAATATTTTACGAAGATTAAATTATTTAATTAATTTACTCAGGAATAGTGACGAGCACAGGGCGCCAAGCCCTTCTCAGTAACGACTTGTAACGGAAACCGGTCCACGCCGGCCTAGGGGAGCCCGGTCCAACTCCACCAATTTCTTTACCTACCACCAACAAACTACCCGACTCTACCCGCTTATCTCTCTCACTCTCCGCCTTTCTCCCGTCGTTCAACTCAAATGGTGGCGACGACACGAACAGGTCCTTCAAACTGTTCCTCTGAAGCGGAATCTTCTCCGGTAGCGGCATCGGAACAGGCGGGTCACGGCGGCGACTGCTGCTCCGGGTCAGGAGCATCAGCAAGGTGGGTTTGCGGCGGCGGAACTGGATCAACGGGCTCGTCCGCGGGCTTCGCGTCGGGCTCTGGGCCACGCCGCACTGCGTGGCGAGGAGCTTGAATTTCTGTAAAGTCCCCATCTTTTGGATTTGAGGTCTGTTGCTGCTGCTAACTCCCATTCCTCTCTCTATATATATACATGTGAATTTTGGGGTGAATATTTGAATTTAAACTGGAGAATGATTACAGGGGAGAGACTGAGACACAATTGATTGCTTGTGAAATGGAGAAAAGCATATGTTGGGAAGTGGATGCATATTTTTTATACACACTTTTTTGAAAAATGCTAAGTACACTCTAATTTTAGATGGGACTCTTTATGCTTTTTCTGAAACGTGTTTAACGTTAATTTCGTGTCAAAATTATAAAATGTTATGTCAAAAAAGTGAGGTGGGAGCAAGTTCAGGAATAGTTTCCTTTCTCTCAATAAATTAGACAAATTTTTCTGTCTACAATACGAGACGATACAACATATATTATTATATAATTAAAAAAATATTTGAACAAATTTTTGTTAATTATATATTAACATATAATCTGCGGTCTGGTGTTCTAAGCATAATAAGAAATCTCTTCATAAATTTGACAAGTAATGATTGGTAATTTTCTCTTTTTTCACAAATTTTAAAAAGAGAGAGAAAGTGGGTGCATTTTCCAAGTGAAATTCCAAATGTGCTGAATCCAAAATCTGAAAATCTATATAGGGTTCTGAAAAAGAGGCGACACCACCTCATACTTTGACTGAAGAAGATTGAAAGGTCAGGTCTAACCAGGAGAATTGGTAAAGGGAAGAGGATTATCTTCTCTTTTTTTTTCTTTTTTTTTCATCATTTTATCTCACATTCTCTTATTTTGTCTTTTTATTATTATAAAAAATTAATATAAGATATTTACGTAGTTTAATTGTGACCGTTCAATTAAGAGGGTAAATAAGAGTAGGAAAAAAAGAGGAAAGAGAATCATACTTCTTGGTAAGGACACTGTAACGATATTACTAGCAAACTTTGTCGGGTAAGAAAATTAAAATATATGTCAGTGTGTTATTATATATATATATATATATATATGTAATGAATTTGGATCCTTGCTGAATCTATTTAAAAGGATTCTAAGAATTTACGAATCGTGTCTGTTTATGTGTGGTTAAAAATTATTTTAAATATTTTATTTAAAATTAAACACAAACAGCACCTAATAAAAATTGATCGCACGATACACGATCTACGGATCTCTAAGGTCCTCACCAAAAGCCTCCGAAGAGGATGTTGTTGGATATATAAGGAACCGGATCCCCTCTGGACCTAATAAAACTGAGCTGAGCAGAGGATCCAGACCGTTGAAATTTGATTCAATGATTACAAACATGGGGTCCTTTAAAAGTTATAATAATTGTAGATCAAATTTCAACACCACGAATCATTTACTCAGCAAGCTCAGTTTTATTGGATCCGGAGGAAATCCAGTTCTGAAATATAATATCTAACTAGCCTGCAAGTTAGGTGGCCCGTATTTCTAAATCAATTTTCTAGGCTGTAGCCTGCACACTAGGTTTCTTGAACAAGAACAACAATGTTGTCATTACCCTAACCCTCACCAACGCAATGTGAATTCTTTTTACCAAACAAACATCTGAAAAATCCAATTTTAGAAGCATTACTGTATTATAAATGATTGATGAAATACTAGTTCTAATATTTTAACATAGTTTAGACCAGAGTATTCAAGTTTAAATTCTTTTTACATAAATTAGAGTAATTTAGAATTCTACAAATGTAAAACATTTTGTCATTTATGTCAGCTTTACTATCCTGTTGATAGGGATTTTACTACTCATGTGAATGGGCTAAAAACTCCTATTATACTTGCAAGAATCACAAGGTTGTTGTAGTATAAACAGATCTCGCAAGGTCATTCTCCACAGGGATTATTAAATAATTTGAAGCAAACCAAATTCCAATTAGTTATTGTAAAGTATAAATTGAGGTGATTGATTTTATAACCTATTTAAAATAAAAACGAAATTAATTAATTAAAATAAACAATTTGCAATATTGAAAACTAGAAGGAAAAGAAAACAATTTTGGGAGAAATAAAATTAAGAAAGCACTAGGGTTTCACCATCACCTAGAAATCCTATGAACTTTTACCAATTACTTATGATCTACACATGCCACTTTGAAGGTTAGATTTTCCTAATTCATATTCTACTTGGAACCTCCAACATATAACGTATATCTAACATGCAACCCGTCCGGACGTTCGGATCAAATCTGAACATGAAATACTCATTATGCTTTATGAAAATCCTTTGAAAAACCAAGCAACCCTTAAGACGTGGTGTTCATCCTAAGTGAAATTACAATTATTAATTGCAAGAAGCTAACATCAATTTCAGGGAACATTCTGACTAAAATTGCATCAAATTACTTTTCTAAAGTGAAATTACAATTATTAATTGTAAGAAGCTAACATCAATTTCAGGGAACATTCTGACTAAAATTGCATCAAATTACTTTTCTAAAGATCTTAATGGTGATCAGGTATTAAGACGATTAGATAGTTTTTATCCCGGTGATTAACAATTCAAAGTATGCATGCAATCAATCATAAGCAATTAAATAAAAATCACATATTCATGCTAAGGCTCAAGGCTTCGCCCAGGCAAAAGAAATTAGTTACGCATATTCATAATTGAAATCATAGAAAATATTATTAAGAAAAGGATTGAAAACACCTTCAAGTCAAAAATCTTCAAAACCCTAGCAATTCTCTCTGTCTCCAAAATTGCATAAAAGAAAGCGTCCCGACATATGGTAGACGGCCAAGCAATATATTTCCTAAACCACCACCAAACCCTAATCCCCATAAAAAAACATAACCCTAAATTAAAATGATAAAATTCGTCCAAAATCTGAACAGCCACGTTTTGGACCCATAAGCTGCTCCAAAACTAGCCCAATATAGCTGAATTTAATGTTTGAAATATTTTGAACACTTCTCCAGAAGGCCACGAACCCATCCGAGGTCATCTTGGGCTCCAAAAACGCAATTTAAGCCCAAAAACGTTATTTTCCAGCACTGCGCATCGCTCCTTTATTTTATCGCCAGAAAATAACCGCTTGGTGGAAAAATCCCAGATTTTGATACAATCAAGCTAAGTGACTCACGAACGTCTTCCAACTGGAATTTCTCCAAAATTCGTCCATTTGATCTTGTTTTGCTTCAGAGGAAGTCGAAAGTCCTTTATTGAAAATACAATTCAAAGTATCAAAATTCTTTCAAAATATTAACCAAAATATACTAAAATTAGGGTAAAATATATAATATAAAATATACTCATCAGTAAAGGAGGTGTTTGATCATGTCAAACAATCAAAACTTGGTTAATAAACAATATCAGAAGAAGCAGAAAGGAAAAAGACATAGACTTCAACGCAAGTATGAAGAGTCAAAACGATACAGGATCAAAATTATACATATAAAATATGAATATTAATAACAATGTCTCCATCTAATATGTACAAATCCCTCAAGCTTTTACCTAGAAGTACTAATTAGATGTGTTTTTCAATGATGGCGAGTCTTGGTACAACGGAAATGTTGTTCTTTTGTGATCGAAATGTCATGAGTTCGAGTCGTAGAAACAACATCTTTACAAGAGAATGTTAAAGTTACGTACGATAGATGTTATCCTCTCTTGACCCTTGCAAAGCGGGGAGCATTATTGACTTGAGTTCGCCCTTTTACCCACCTAATCAAATCTGAAATGCATTCATATATATATTCTTTATACTGAAAAGTAACACACAAAAAAGAAAACTGTCACGCACTAGCACTAGGTGAAATCCCTCAAGCTTTTACCTAGAAGTACTAATTAGATGTGTTTTTCAATGATGGCGACTCTTGTACAACGGAAATGTTGTTCTTTTATGACCGAAATGTCACGAGTTCGAGTCGTAGAAACAACATCTTTACAAGAGAAAGTTAAAGTTATGTACGATAGATGTTATCCCCTCTTGACCCTTGCAAAACGGGAAGCGTTATTGGCTTGAGTTCGCCCTTTTACCCACCTAATCAAATCTAAAATGCATTCATATATATTCTTTATACTGAAAAGTAACACACAAAAAAAGAAAACTGTCACGCACTAGCATTAGGTGAAGTAGACCTAGTGCTAGGCCATTTTTGCGTGACGGAAACCGGCGAAGGCGGAGGTCTCACGTTCAACAGCCCGATCTCATCAGAATCTGGCGAAGCTGGCGGCTGTACACTCGTTTTCACACTCTCACTGTCCGGTTCCGGCTTTAAATTCTCAGGGACATAACTCCCGCTTTCGATCATTTTCAAAGCCTCCAAAACCTCGTTCATGGTAGGCCTCACATTGTTGTCCTGCTGCAAGCATTGAAAAGCCAACTCTGCAACTGCAATGATCATCCTTCTAACTTCACCATCGGATTCGAACCCGAGACGTTGATCTACCAACTCGTTGAACAAACCCTTCTGAATTTTGCTTATGGCTAAGTTAGCCAGATTAATTTCGTGCCTGTGCCTCATTATATCAACTGCCGGAAGCGATGATATGAGCTCGATGAGAACAACTCCAAAACTATAAACGTCACTCTTGCTAGTTAGCTGGTAACACTCGTGATACTCTGGATCAACGTAACCCGGTGTCCCTTGTGGAGCGGTTGAGACATGCGTGACATCAATGGGGAAGAGCCGGGAGAGGCCAAAATCTGCAACTTTAACGCAGAAATTGTCATCGAGCAGAATGTTGTTAGTCTTCACATCGCGATGTACAATTTCAGAAGCATGGAGGTAGGACAATGCGTCGGCGGTTTCAATGGCGATGCTCATACGTATAGGCCAAGTGAGTGAGCCATCTGCTCTGTCTCCGTGGAGATGATCAGCAACGGTTCCATTGGAAATGTATTCGTAAACAAGGAGGAGTTCACGGCTGCGGCGTGAGGTGCAGCCATAAAGGGAGACTAAGTTTCTGTGGCGCAGACGGGTGAGGATTTCAATTTCATTTATGAACTGTTCAACGCGTTTGTAATTGTGCTCATATAAGCGCTTGACTGCAACTTCCCGACCATCTTTGAGTTTTCCTATATTGGATTGATCAAAGAGTAAGCTGCTGCAGATACTATGCAACTTAACTTCCTCTTTACTTGCCTAATGTAAATGATTTCTTTTATTTTTTCGGAAATTAACACATATATAGAAGATTAGCTCTTACCATAGTAGACAGTTCCGAAACCTCCATCTCCAAGTTCGCTTTCGCTATCAAAGTGGTTCGTTGCCTCATCGAGTTCACTGTAGCTGAAGACCGGGATACCACAGTAGGCACCGCCCCCTTCTATGTCGGAATTTGTGTATGGCTGAGAAGAAATGTTCCTTGAGAGGAAGAGTGAAGAGCGTTTTTTCTTGTAAAGCAACAGAAGACACACGCATATAGCAAGAAGTGCTGGAAATCCAAGGCCAATTCCTACAGAATACAAGTGGGAGAGACAGTTAAAATGGAGTTTATACTGGGGGTGCTTAAAGGAGAGTTAAATTTGGTCGAAGGTATGTTACGGAGAGCAATCAATTGACTTTGGCAACATGTTTAAACGCTTGCTCATTCCCATGATTCTTAGAAAATTAATCCAGAGCCATTGGAGAATGATTGATTTCTGTCCTTCTGTCGCTTGTCCTAGATGAGTATCCATATCAATTAGATATTTAAATGCGGAGATATCAATCTTACCTAGTCCTAGCTTCAGGTTCAACTGCTTATCTCCTGCAACATGAATTGCAAAAAAAACTGTTGTTAGCTAAATCACAGAAGATGGCATAAATAATGTTACCATTCGAAGAACAAGAAGAGGCTAATGCATACATAACAATCATTTAATACTTGTGTGTTTCAATAAACTGTTTCCTGTTTCTAAGAGTTATATCCTTTGAAGAAAGGAATCGGATTATTGCACGTCAGAGAAAGAAAGAAAGGTCATGTAAATGTATACCTTTGGTGCATTTAAATTCTCCCTCTTCAACCTGGCATTCACCTTTGCTTTCAATACATTGAAAACATTCTGGTGTTTCCAGGTTAAACTCAGCAGTCAATGAAGATAAGTTCTTGGGTTTAAACGGACGCATGGGGACCTGAATGGTTGAACACCCTAGCAGCTGGGGGTTAGGTAAACTACTGCTAAATGAAGCGGTATAATAAGTATGGTTATCATTTCCGCAGCCATAATTAAGTTGTGGGTAAGAATTTTTGTCTAAGGTGGTGTTGCATTTGAAAAGGGTCAAATTGTGTGTGAATAATGGTACTTCAAGGATTGGAGAAGCGCTAGGAAGACTCAAGTCGTCCAAAACTCCATCATCGCAGCGATCCTTTTCTAAGCGGTCGGCAAGGTCTCTGTCATTGATAGAAATCGAAGGTGAAAATAAAGAGCCTTGGAATTCATGCCAGTATCCTCCCTCTTTCAATTGGATTTTTGGCCGTTCGGTGTCTGAACAATTGACTGTGAACATTCCGCAATCAGGAGGATCTTCCATGCTTTTGAAGGGGAGGCTGATGTCGCCTGCTGAGCCGCAGAAGTGGACTGGACAATGTTTGGCGCGTTCCTCTGCTGAATGAGCAGAGTGCAGAACCACAAGGTGAGCAAGAATGGCAAGAATAAACAAAGCCACCGGAGCCATCCGAAAATTCCCAGCTGATCAACAAGAAGAAAGCGCCGCAAAGGAAGAACAATAAGAAAATCTACTCCTCCTCTTCAGAACAAGAGTGTTGAATTGTTTAGAGGTTCAGAATTCTTTGTTTGCAATATATCAAAAAAATTGGCTGTTTAACACGCCAGTTGACTTGGAAATTAGGAGACGGAAGACTAGTCGAAACTAACCATGTAAAAAGTTGCTTGATACACACTGTTTGATTGGTTGGCTTAAAGACTTCCGTGGCCTATTAGGGAGTTTCCTTCCCAACTTCCCCAATGACCACCACCAGAAAGACTTTGACCCCTTGACTCTTCAACCATTATCGTCACGATGATACTATTCAAAAATCCTCGAAACTCCTCTGAACCACACACATTACGGAAAGGATCGACTGTTCAGTGTTCACCCGTAGCGTCGTGAAACATGATTGGTCTTTCGTGTCCGGCCTGTCTCGCTTTCGGGTCTACTTATTCGTGTGAACGCTGAACGGATCCATAGCTGAAAAGAATATCCTAGTTCCTTGGAATTTAATTTAGTAAAACATCATGACGAATTTGGTTGTTTGTGGCTGTCATTTTCTGTAGCGGTCTTGATGTAAGTAGGAGAAGGGACAAGAGAGAAAAACGTATCCACAATACCTTCCCGAAGACTTGTGGAGTTAGTCTTGCTGGTTGGCGCAGTGGATACGGAAGCAACCACGACTTTCTGGGTTTTGTTATCTACTCTGTCTTTCATCCATTCTTCAAGAGTGTTGAATCCGAAAAGCGCGTTGAATTTTCATGCGTCTTAGTCTCTTGCCTGTGATTTCTTCGATATAGGGAGATTCTGGTTTCCTGCGATTGTGATGCGTTTTGTTGGTTCTTCGATATAGGGAGATTCTGATCGAAAGTTTTATCCTTGCTTTCGAACGAACATGGATTAGTGGAACTTAGAAAGGAAGCAACGGAAAGATTTTAGCTTTAAAGCAGACTGATTTTTAGATTACTGGGGCTTTGAATGTGCAGAATTATCAGAGAGACGGGCCATATGACCCACTTTCAACAACATCGATATTGTGCCCAACTTGGTAATTACCACCTGCACAATCCGTCAGGTGTTGGGTTTTATCACAAAAGACCTCGGTTAGTTGGAGTGGGATTAGAGTATTTAAACTCTTCTTCTGCCTTTGATACGATCGATGTGAGATATTTCAACAGAATGTTCCTCTGCCCAGTTCCTCTCCAATTGGACAACTTGTTGAGGATATGAAATGGTAGCTTCCATTGATCACTAAGAGCAAGTCCACTGTTTACCATTCACAAACGTAAATTTTCAACTGAAACTCCATATTTAACTCCGACTGAATTTTAAATACAAAGATTTGCAATTCTTTTGGAATTTTGTTGTTTTTTTTTTTGCCCCTGGATTATTTATGGTTGTTGATTTCCAATTTTTTTTAATTAGATGTACCAGATTGTGCCATGTGGCACAACCTATAATTTTCATTTTTTTTAAAGTTGGAAATCCAACGATCTAGATGAGAAGACCGATATAAATCCAACCGCTGAGAGCAACTCCACCCATGGAGCCCTTCCCCCTGGCAATCCACTATTCAATCCACCCTATTGAACAGTAACTGCCTTAAATGAATAGTAATTACCATTAATGAACAGTAATTGCCATTTACATCTCCACCCTTGGAACCCTCCCCCTGGCAATAAGCAATAAAAATAATAATTTTTTTTGTTTGTTTAAAGAATAAAAAATTACAAAAGCTATCTATCTCTCATTCTCTCTCTCTCTCTCTGACACAAAAAAAAATAAAAAATTGCAAACCCTCGGGCCACAGGCCCGTCGACTCCCCACCCCCCCTTCGCTCGAGCTCCCACCCTCACTCAGGCCCTTCCCCGTTGGATTTGCTCCCACCGGCCCGAGGGCCCTTTCTCCTCGCCTGACGCCCGAGCAACCAGCAAGGCTGGAGTTGCTCTGAGGGCGAGACTTTTGGCTCGGTGAGTGGACCCGCTCTGTCTACTGCCTGACGTCAGCTATGACGTAGGCCACTGCCTGTAGACGCAGCCCGGGCTTGAATTGGCAGGGAAGCCCAACTAGCTGCTACCCTTGCTCCAATTGCCTCAATGACATTGGACCAGTGAAGATGATTTTTTTTTTGGTTGGGGGATATTCAACCCACATACCTGGGCATTTCGAGCACCAATGGAGTTGCTCTAATGTTAGATGTACCCAAGTCTGCCGCCAAGCTAACGGAGTAGCCCATCGCCTTGCTCGTTATGGTTACACGTCAAATCCCCTTGTGCTTGGTTGGACTCTCTTCCGATCTTTATTCTAAATTTAATGTTTGAGGATTGTAATTCACATTAAGTTAGCTATTGCCGCCCTTTTACTACTATACCTGTTCAATGAAATTCACTATCGTTTCAATAAAATAAAAAATCCAACTTCTACTATCAACTTGGACGCAATTTGAAAGTTGACATCCATCCCTTTATTGAATACAAATTGAATCTAGTAATTAACATATTCAATCTTAGACACCAAACGAGGACTTCAGTTCAAAATCGTGAACCACAAGTGCCTGCGTGCCTGGGTTGATTTTACTGCACCAAGTCATGTCCGACTTGACAATCCAGTAGTATTGGACTACTAGCGCAGCATCAGAATGCACAGTGCGCACGTTGGGTCAAGTGTTGCATTCACAAAACGCAATGCCCTACGACTGTAGCGACCTCCGTGGCAAAAAATTATGGGATGAAAGTGCAACCACAAATCACACTAGTTGGCCAAATTGAATGTGGCTTCCACGCGTTTATTGGGTGCATTTTGTCTCCAGAACAATGATGATAATATGATTTTTCATGTTCTGGACGGTGGGATTAAGATGAACTTTGATCATCTCCAACGACAGAGGCAGTGCAACAAACAACTGGCACAGTGGTAGGTTTCAGTCAACAATGGCTGTTGAGGAAAGAAATTACCAACAACCAGCAAATTTCTAATTGGATTGCTATTCAATGTGACTACAACTAGAGGGTCTAAACTTGTTAGGATTTACATCCTTTTACCGTAGCATCCTAGACCAACAACATGACGCTATGTATTTTACGTTTTATGCATGATATGGTACTATTGGTTCGGAATACCATCATCTTAGCGTTCTCATTTTATTATGTTAATCCCTTTTGTTTACACGTAATGATGTCTTTATTAACTTGTTCGTGAATTAAGACATTGTTCATGAATCAAAGTTTATGTTGACTTGCAGACTGAGTAGTAATCAACAACCTGGTTCTAAAACCCTAATAAATTATCTTATCCTGGAAGATTATGCGACTAAAGAATTACTTAGAGCTAACAAATATCCCATCAAGAAAGCATTTTTAATTTGGGGGCATACCTATTGTTTGCATCTCCTTGGGAGCAGCCTCTCCATAAATGGGGATAAGGCTAGCCGACATTCACTTCTCCCAGACCCTACGTAAAGCGGGAGCCTTGTGCACTAGGTACGACGACCTATTGTTTGCATCTCAAATAATTTTTATCACAAATAATCGTGAAGGATATTTTTCACGTTAAATCGTGACGGTGTAGAGGTTCAGATTCGACTTCACAGACGATCTTCTTCGTTAATATTTGATTAGAGGTGGCTATATTCAACCCTCCAGCCAGCAGCCGCCCTTCTTCCTTTGAAATCTAATGTGTGGTAGGAGTTAGACTCGATGAGATTTTGCAACTTTTTGCACAGGAGAGTTGGGCAAGTGGGACAATTATCCCGTACCAGAAATTGTCTCCGTATCAAAATTAAACGATATTCTAAACTACTTTAATCTATAAAGGTGAATTTGAATTCGAGTGTAACGACATATTGTGTTAATGAACTAGCTTGAATCATGTATGCTGCGTAGTAATTATCTAACAATTCATATTGCATGTAAAAAAGAAAGAAAAAAAGAGTGAAGAGAGAGAGAGACTAACCTTCGTCGCCCCTACAGAACACAGAATAGGACCTGTTGGGGCAGAGGCACCTAAAAAGGTGGGTGGTGTAGTTAAACCCACATAGCCCTCCACTCCTCTGGCATTCGCTGCAGTCACCAGCCAGCCATTTCATCTCAAACCCTCTTCCCAACACTTCCTTCATTCCCGCCGCCTCGTCATTCCCATACCCTCCACCTTGCGCCACCGGCACCTCACTCGATCCACACTTTTCAACCTCCCCAAGACCTTCAAATTTCGGATATATCTGCCGAGGCAGAGAACCGAAGTGTTACTACAACCAATCTTGTACGTTGGAAAAGAATCGACAAACGAAGGGCTGCAGTTGTGGAGCAGAAAGAACTGATCTTGGTTTGGAGCCAGCTCAAACTGTTCATTAGGGAGCGTTAAATTATGGATCAGTGAGAGATTAGTGCAGGAAGAGTTGTCCAAGTAGTGCGAAAGTAGAACATTTGAGACGACAAGAGTCTGTCTTTCGTAACTGATGTTGTGAATTATGTAATCGTCTCCAGACAACTGGAGAAGTGGGTAGGCTTCTTCTTTGTCGTCGTCTGCGCCGCCGTGGCAGGAGAGCTGGAAACCAGGGTAGCCGCAGAAGTCTTGTTGCCTGCCTGGGATGTAGAACGGATAGCTGATGTTTAGGCGGCCACAGGTTGTGGGGACGCTGCAGTTTTGGTAGTAAAGGTCCACTGCAAATGCTGGGGTTTCTGAGAGAAGGAAGATCAGGATGAAGAGGTAGAGGTTTTGATTCATTTGGGATTTTTGTGGCAGAAACTGTGGAGGTGATAATTTAATATGCACACAGAGAGAGAGAGAGAGAGAGAGAGAGAGAGAGAGAGATAGTTAATTAGTATAATAAAAGAGTAATTTTGAGAGCTGTATTATTTATGGAGGAGGACAGGTTTGACTTGAAGATTGTCCTTGGGTACCGAATGACGGTTGAAAGAGAGTTTTTTAGTTAAAGAAAGGATGTTCATGTAATCTGCCCCAGATATTAGACTCTTGAATTCAAGCCAGTTTTTGCCTAATTGGGCCTATGAAAGTCGCATAATTTGACCAATCTCATAATTCAACTCCTCTCCTCCTCTGTACAGGGAAAAACTTTTGTCGAGAACTTAATCACGTCATTCGTGGGGCATTATTGAGGATAGAAGTACATCAATTTGCACTGGTTCTCCTTGGAAACAACGGTATCGAAGAATTTCCGGATGTAACATAGATGACATTCATCGTATGACACTATTGATAAACGTTTGAGATTTTCTATATTTTGATTTGATACTGACATCATGTTGATTATGCTAATATAAGAGCTGCCATAATCAAACAATCTTGTCAAAATTTCACCTACCTTCACATGTCTTCTCCACATATAAAGATCCACTCTAGATCTCACTGTTCGGAGCCTAAAGATTATGCAATTCGAGCTACTCAAATTAAATCGGGCGCCCATCCATCAACTTATTGCGTTGATCCACCTCATACAAACCAAGACACTAAGCCCTGGTTGAGTACTGAAGTGATTCTGAAAAAAAAATGGCTATAAAAAAAGGGAGTTTTAACGAAAAGCCCACTGTACTGTTCACTTTAACGAAAAACCACATTGTTATACTAAAAAGTCAAACCTTGTACTATTCACTTTACCCTTTATTTTGTCCTCATCATTAAAACTCAAAGTTTTCAAATCTTTTTCATTAGTTTTCCTATAAAAAAAAGCTTGGAGCTTTTTTATGTTTGGTAAACATTCAGTTTCAGTTTTTTTTTTCATAGTTTTGGATGAAAAAATGCCAAAAACACAAAGCTGCAAAATCCAGCTTTGAAAAACTAGTTTTTTTTCACATCTGTTTTATATAAAAGTTTATCAAATACTATAATATTTTTTTTTTTTCAAAAGCACTTTTACAAAAAAGTTTACCAAACACTAAACTGCTTTATTTCACAGCTGCTTATTCTCACAGTACAGCAAAAATAATTTTTTCAAAGCATAACAATACTAAACCAACCTTAAGATCCGACGAAAATCCCAGTTCTTTCTCCACATGGTCAAGGGCTTTTACTTTGAATTGGGAATAATAATTACCCTCATATGTTTTTCAAAGCAAAAGTCATTACAATTTGAAACAGTAAATTACGGCAAGGATTACTAGGCTCGGATAAGGATTATCTCTCCTTTTTTATTTTTATCTTCTTATTTCCTTTCATGGTTGAACGCTCTAGATTTCATCAAGAAAAATAGTAGACCTAGTGCATATCTAAAATAGTATCTTCATATTAACAGCAATCAGGAAAAGTAGCCACTGGCAACCAAAGCAAGAGACTTGGTCATATATGTACCTCACATATATTCAACAGTCACATGATGCATGAAGTTTCTATTCATACGTGCATAAAAGTAAACCATCACCTTGTACATATGCGTTTTCAGAGGACTGAAAAATCATTGTCACCGTCACTCCGGGCAATTTTTCGTCATCCGATGCGCAAGATAGATACATTCAATAAATACGGAAATAAAAAAGACCATAATTTTGAAGCTTGTGAAAATTAGTGTAATATATATAAGTGTCACAGCCCGTCCCGGAATTTTTAATTCCGAGGATGTGAAATTACGAAAATGCCCCTAATACGTGGCTAAGGTATAATTTTTATGTTCGTTATATCTAAGCTCCTAAAATTTGGTAAGTAGAGTGGAGACTTAGATTTAAATTTATGTTAGAATTTTGTAGTTGGGGATTGGGTAGGATCCCACACCCCTCAATTTTCTCCCTCTTTCCCGTACCTTGTCTCTCTCTCAGTTCATTCTCTCTCCTCCCTCACGACTTCCTCTTTCTCTCTCACTCTCTCTCACCCAAAACGTACGGCATACACCCAAATCCTCCAAAACTCGACGGATCGAGGCAACTAAGGTATGCATCTTCATCCTTTCGTCATTCTGAGTTCATTGGTACTAGTTTTAGGAAGTGAAACCTTCGGAATCATGTGAAACCCGAACCTCCATTTTTGGTCACTGTTCATGTGAACGTAAAATGTTGTGTTTCAGGGAATTCTAAGCTTATAGTGAGCTTAGTGAGGTCCCAAGGAAGCTCGGAGTGCTTCGTGGGAAGTTTTTGGACGTAAGAACACTGAGATCGACAAGTTCAAAGTTTGGCCGGAGCTTTCGAGGCTTTTTCCGGCGAATCCCCGGCGAGTTAAGAGTCGAGGTAGGTATCAATCTCTTCGTCTCGTCAAGTACTACAACTTTCCTTTTTGTTTCACTCAATTTCGTTGAGTATTGAAGAAGTTATACTCATTTGAAAAATACCCAGTTTCCGGCGACCTCCGAGGCTTTCGAGGCAGTTTCCGGCCAAACCACGGCGAACTAGGTGTTGTGCAAGGTACCATTCTCTTTGTCTCTTCAAGGGCTACAACTTTCGTTTTTGAATCACTTGATTTCGTTGAGAAATGACAAAGTTATGGCAATTTGAAAAACTGCCCGGAAAACGGCCGCCGGAAAAACCAGTCCGGCGACCCAAGGAAGAAGATGGTGCTACAGTAAAATAAAAAAATAAAAATAAAAATATTTTAAAAATATGTCGACGTCCGTGACGTCGAGTAGATCACTGTGGTATATTCATATACCTAAATTGAACACCGTATGAGAAAGTTATTAAGGATTGTTGGTTAGGTGTTCGAATAACGTTTTATAGTTTTGGTGAAAATGTGAATTGATGATCCGACCGTTGGATTGTCACCAAACTTTGATACGTTGTAATACGTAATATTTGAGGATTATTGGAACTTACGGATTGGGAATCCGAGTTACGGATCTTCCGGAATTGGAATTGTAAGTCCATAATATAAAATGTTAACCGTCACTTAGTTTTGGAAATTGACGGAGATCCAACCGTTGGATGGTAATGAAATTTTAGGATGTTATCCTAGAGATATATTGTGGACCTCTGGAAGTTATGGATTTAAAATCTGAGTGGCAGATCTTCCGGATCGAACTACGTAGTGACGTATTTTATATAAGTTATATTTTATCGATATGAATTCTGAGCCTGGATTTGATTACTATTCTAGGCGGCGATCGTCATGACGCCTTGGCGTATTGTGCTAGGGAGTTGTAGGGCGAACTCCAGGTGAGTGGGCAGTTTTGTTTTCCGTATATATATATACTTGACGTTTCCCAGAAATTGAATTGAAATGAAAATATGTTTAAAATGAAATGCATATGAGTTATGTGGAAAAACGGGAAGTGAAATACCATGCATAGAATTGATATGAAAAGTATATAGAAATGTGAGTTGAAATGCCATGCATGAATTAATATATGATGCATATGTATGAATTGGTGCGGTGGACGCACAGGTAAGAATTGATTTATGATGCATATGTATGAATTGGTGCGGTGGACGCACAGGTAAGAATTTAATTACTGTTATTATGATGATGATATATATTGAGCTCAAATCCTGCACCATGGTTTAGTGCTTATAGTATTCACCGCATCGCACGCTCGCCTTGGATCCAAGTAGATGCTAGTCGTACAGTCCACGCGGAGTGGGTACGACAGACCAGTCGCGAGAGTGTTAGTGAGATTCCGACTGGTGGGTGACCTTAGATTATGTGCACAGATGACTTATGAGAAGCACTAGAGCGTAACTTGTGTGCAGAAGGCCGGACGGGTCACAGAGGTGACTCCGGTAGAGTGATAATGATAGATTTTGAGCTCTAGGTTCAACCGTACAGGGCTATTAGAGGGCCTACGGTTGATTACTTTCTTGCACCTGATATGATTATGTTGATGCATTCATACCTTATTACTGTTGAGATGATGTGGCATGGCATAATTAATATGAGAAATGTTGAGATGATGTGGCATGGCATAATTGTTATGAAAATGTTGAGTTAACGACTTGAAGTTTTGAGAATATATATGTATATTTATATTTTACATTTCTGGGAAAATATACAGGTTTTACGGAGAGGGGTTACAACGTTTTGAAAATTGTTTGGATTTGGAAAAGAATTGTTTTACTGACCCACTCAATTTTGGTTTTGCGCCCCTCCAGGTTCAGGAATCACAAAGGTGTGGTGACTACGAGGAATTCGACGGTGTTCTGACAGATTGGACAAAATTAGGACTCACCTTCGGGTGTATCAACTTAAATTGTATCTTAAAGCTTCCGTACTGTGCAAATGGTTACGTCACTCTCACGTGACGGCCAGCATGCCCTCCTTCGGGATGGGGTATGTCAGTTGGTATCAGAGCATGGTTGCAATCTTGGACATCTTGAGAAGTTTATAGTGAATTCTGTCAGAACTACACCGCCTCGTAGCAAACCACGTAGTTAGAGGAATTTAGTCTCCCTAATATAGCGGTTTAGGGAAAACTATTATTATGGTGATTCAGTCTATTATAAAAAGGGACATTTTAAGATGGGTTATGAGTTGAATTTGAATCACCTTATGAAATGATGAACCTGAGGGAGCGAAGTAACGGTTTAACCAATTGGAAAAGATGTTTCAGATTATGCAAGTCAAAGGAAATTTCCTTCTGACAAGGGGTCGAGACGACTACCTGGTTTTGGTTATGAATTTGTATCCTGGTGGAAACAGGAGTATGAATTGTTGTCACCATAGGAATCAGTCGATTGAGAATTGTTTAAGGACTTGTTTAAAGGAAAAGTTTATCCCTCCGGCATTTATCGATGGTGGTAAACAAGAGTTTACAAATATGAGACAAGGAAGGTGATGATCGAGGGATATTATAGAAAGTTTTCAGACTTGCCTCGTTCTATCCAGATATTGT